GGTTTAGGGTTTAGGGCAAAGTTTAAGGCTTAAACGAGGTCTGATTTCGTAGGGATAGTATCCTCCTTAGGTCATTGTAGAAGTATTGATCGTGTCCCGGTAGCGTCCCTCTACAATGTTAACACACATGGGTAGTTCTCCAAATCAGGGTCCCTTTTGGGGTCATTTTCACACGTATGGGTGCTATTCTTTGGACTAAACAGGGACCCTTCTATAGTTGTTACTGTAGTTCGTTTTTTTGGTTTTACCAATTGTATAGTTAGGATCCTATAAGGCACCCCCAAAAAGGAACTACAATAGAGACTGTAGGTAGAGTCTTCCACTGTTGGACAGGAGCTTCCAAGACCCAGCAACCATAGCCGTAGCCTTCACACCCTGTGTTTAACTCACGCCGCGACATAGATCTCTGATTCGTTTTTCCAGGTTTCGGTTAGTTGTTTAGGCACCCTGGTATTGCAGACACAGGAGCGTGTTTTGTGTGCCTTCGCTCATTAGCCTGTGACTTTCGACCCTTGGCCCCTTAAACACCGAGCTGCAATCGGCGGTCAACCACTGCATTCCTCAGTCCTGTCACAAACTATTAACTATTCGCCCTTACACCCTGTAGTCCTGACGTCCACGTGCTTGCTCCATTTAGGCCGGCGATGCTGGACAGTGGCCCCAGGCACTGTGGTTGTTGTTTCAAATTTAATGGGATTACAGTTTACAGTTTACCGGGGTTCATAAAAGTTTCATGAGGGTCTTATGAAGTTTTGTTAGGGTTTTCACGGAGGTTTGACTGGCAAGTTTTGTAGACGGTCGCTACTAGTAGCAGGAGTGTTTACAGGCTTTCAGACGTTAGGGCTGTAGGGTTTATGACTTCAAAAGACTTTTGGTTCTAGTTCTTAGGTGTTGTCTAACATGTTCAGGTTATGGAGCACATTGTTACTAACTGCTCCGCAAGCCCAGAGCGAGGTTCGGCTAAGACGTTCGATGCTTCCTACCACCACATTCGTAACTTTCCCTTAACCTTGAAGCCCTTCTCTGTGCTTCTTTCAGCAAGTCTGCTTTGCTTGGAGCATTCATGACACAGGCGCCGGAAGGCAAACCACCCAACGCCATGTAAATAATATAAGGGTCGAAATAGTGACCAAAACTATTTCGGGCGGTTCCTTATTATAATGACAACATAACATAGCACAAAAACCCTATTCTAATTATTAAGGCCCCGACTTTACTTCTTGCAAATCGAGTGAATCCTGGGTGGAGCAGATTCCAGTCCTTTTTCTCATCCAAGGAAGCCTGAATCCCCCAACCTTGCCAGACATCAAAAGCTTTGTGCAGCTCGCATGCACTTTGTAGAGCGGCGCGAAAAGCCTTAACAACTAGTAGTAGTAGTCGTCGTCATCGCCGTTGTCGTCGTAGTGGTAGTGGCACTGGCAGTAGCAGTAGCAGTATAGCAGTAGTAGTTGTTGCTTTTTCGCAGATTAGAGTAGATAGTCGATGATGGCAGGTAGTCTAGTAGATAATTAGCAGATGGATAGTAACCAGCAGATAGTAGACAGTACACAGTAGACAGCAGAGAGTAGTAGGGAGTAGCCAGGAGGTAGGAGGCAGTAAGCGCTAGGTAGTGGCTAGCAGCCTGCAGGGTACGTTAGTTGAGTTAGTTGATTATATCAGGGACTGCTGGAAGCCTTCGTAGCGAGGATTTCTCCCTGGCACAAACACTCCGCCTCGCCTTCGTTCACACCATGGCGGCGGGCTCAAGCTTTCTGTTTTGGATTCTGTAGAGGGTTGGCAAAGGTTGGCGTCGTTGCGGCGCATTGGACATGCGCCTCAGGACTTGGCGGGCACCGGAGTCGTTGGCGCTCTGCGGAAGGCGCGAAGCCTAGAAAATGGCAGCTGTGCAGGCTAACATCCTCTTGCAGGTCTTCAGCTACATGAGACCACCCACAGAACTGAGCAAAATCGTCGCTGCCTTAGGTGGGGTGGAGGCTTGGGATCGCGAATCAGCTAGGTCCAAGATGGTTCTTGGCAAACGCCATAGGTAGCCAGAGAATCCAAGGTCGACTCAAGAGGTTTTGTGCTTTGCTTTGTGCCCTGTCGCAGTCCGTATAATTTCGCCGAGGACCGCATCACAGCAGCTGCTGCTCATCTGCCGATTTCTTAGAGATTGCTAAGTTCATCTGCTTGTTTCGATTCCCGAAGCAAGAACCCGAACTTCTTTTTGACGCTCTGCTGCATTTGTTCGCGAATCGGAAGAGTCGATAGTTGCTGTAGGTGGTGGCGCACTCACGACCTGGATGATGCCCAGCCATACGTTGCTGGCATGCAGGAAGTTGGGCTCCCAGCATGCAGGGGTGCCTGTGTAGCCTTAATCTTGTCCTGACCTCGTGCGGCAGAGCCTAGTTTCAAGCAGCCTGAATTCTAAGTCCTGTCGCTTCTTGCAGAAAACAGGGAAAGAAGTCTCACGTGAGTGATCTGATCTTGGAGTTCATCGGCACTCGACCGGTCGTGACTCGTTTCTGAACTGCTACGCGGCACACCAAGCCTGTACCTGATTCTCTACCCTTACCAAAACTGCGGTCAAGGCAGACGAGGCACTGGAGTGGACGCTGTTTTCGGAGGCACGGCATGCTGAGCTCCGCTCGACGCAAGCCGGGTCGTTTATCACGTGACCTAGTGATGCCATGGGAATCATAGTGCGGAAGGTATGACGCCGTGTGTAGCATTGTGGAGCCATGGTGCAGGATTGCAGTGGAGGTGCTTCCGGCTCAGCCTTTCGGCTCACAGCCAGTAGAGCAACATGCTGCGCCTCATTTTATCGGTGTTCGTTTCCGCCCCGAGCTGAGTTGCAGCCTAGGACCTCGTAGAACCTCGCTGCGCAACCAATACTCCGAAAAACCCTTCTCTGCAGCAGGCCGCGCTGGCACAAGATGCCACGTGCGATGCTGCTACAGGCAGATGCAAATCGGCCCCTGGCGAGCCGCACGGGGGGAGTCTTGTGGAAGCTTGCCAGATATTTGCTTATTGTCATGTTTGCTAGTCCTTACTGGTGTGAGCCGCGGAGCTAATTTTTTGCAAAGAAGCACAGCCGCTGCCAGAAGCAACTTGTCACGGGTGCGAGTTTGGCTGCAATCGCAATCCCGAAAAAGATTGGGCTCGGGAGCGCTGAGGATTTAAATCTGGCAGATGCTGCCGCAGCTAAGCAGCTCGGTTGCCTTGTGCATGGCTACGCGCAAAACAATGACTGCATGATGTAAGTGCTCTGTCCCAGGCTGGTTGCAGGGGCGACTGCCACCCTCGAGCTATCCCAGCGACAGGCGGCTCGGTGCGGCTTTCTCCTTCGATTCGGCAGCATTTACCTTGAAAGTCAGTGGAATCCGGAAGTGGCTCGTCTGTTTAGCAGGCATGCGATGTCTCTCTCCTCATCAACGGCGGCTTCTCGCCCCTTACTGGCTTCATGAAGCAGGCTGACTACAACTCCGTTGCAGCTCCGCTGATGACAATCTGTTCGGGGTGGTGGGTGAGTGTAGCAGTCAAGAGCAGTAGGAGCTACTTCACTCGCCTGGCTTCCTGAAGCCTGGCCACAAGGGCCAGGGACGGCTAGGGGGGGTGTGGAGATGTGCATGAGAGCCGAGGTCGAAGGCATGCGCCTGACTTCGGGGCACCTCTTCGGCCTGCCTTTTGGACCCCCAAGTAAGCCTAGGAATCCTAGGAATCCTAGGGAGGGGCCTGGGACTTCGGAACTCTCCGGGAGCCGAGGCCGGTGATCCTGGATGTGCCCGACGAGTCCCTGCGCGGGAAGACGGCCCTCCTGACCTACCAGGGCGCCAAGCTGGCCGCGACTCGGTTGCATGTCCGGGGATTTTTCCGCCCACGCTTCCCCCCTCCACGCCAGAGCTGCGAAAGTGGGGACAAGAATACCTCTGACCCTGAAGCCGTGACGCCACTGCCAGCAACAAGCAAGCATCATCTGCCTCTCCACGTAAGCATCACCAGACAAGCTAGCACCGACCAGTGCGGGTGAAGCCTTGGTAACTTCCACCTCACCACGACATGGCGGAGAGGCTGCCTTTTTTTCTGAAGCCACACTTGTATAGTCCTCCCGAAGGGGTGAGACATCGTGACATCATCCTTTCAATCATTGCCGCTGAAGAAGGCGAACTTATCTGAAGGCATATGCGTAGCATTTGCGATTTACTCAATTTTACTTACAAGCATGCACGCGTCATTTCTGCGAGCAAGCTCGCTACGGCAGCTGGAAGTGCTTGCGCCAGCCGGGGGGTAAAACATTGGCTGAGGTCTTCGAGGCGGAGGAAGTGTGGAAGCCGGATAAGGTCAAGGAAGCCAAGGCACGGAGGGCGAGACGTTACTGTCCCTGGCCCTGCTTGTTGCCAATGGGCCTCCCGGCAAGCCGTCAGGCCTCCTATGGCACCACATCGACCGAGCATCCCTCAGTGGCAGAGCTTTTCGCGGATCTTGGAAAATTTTATGCCGGAGGCCGGGTCTCAAGAAACCCGAGCAGAGCATTACTCGAGCACATATCATATCATATGGCTCCGATCCAGACCTCATCAAGCATGTCCTGCAACTTCCCCGTCCGTGATCCCAGCACTCGCGAGTTCCATGGGTTAGACCTAGCTGAATGATAGAAACAACAGCGCAGCGTCGAGATGCTGCAGTAATGCCTGCGGCTTCTCGTTAGATAGTGTCGCGCGATGTTTCGAAGGCATGGTTGCACCGTTTGTTTGCAAGTCGGGGGTTTCTGGGAACGAGTTTATGCCAGCATAGGTTTGTTGCATTCGTCAGCCTCTTGCAGAATGAGTGCCCGTGCTTGCAGGCAAGCTGCATGGCCTGGGCGCAGGCTTCGAGACAGTGTGGGGCAAAGGCTTCCGCACCCCGAAGGAGGTGCGAGCATCCCTACCGGCGGGCAAGCAGGTGGTTGCGTTCCAAAATCGCAACCCGGTGCACAAAGCGCACTTCGAGCTGCTGGTGCCTCGACATTCGCGGCCTTTACGGTGCTGCCGGTCTTGTCCTGTCTTGTCTTGCGCTTGCAAAGATTTTTTTCTGTATCGGTCTCCTTTGTCAGCTTCACGATGCCTGAGTAGAACTCTGCCTTGCCGTGGGATAACGACTTCCGAAAGTCGTAGTGACAACAAGAGGCCAAGCAGGGAAGTTCAGATTTGTAGCGTTCTCTTTCAAGAGCCAAGTCAAAGTTGTCCATTTGATTGCAGCCTCAGGTTCACGCCAACAAGGATGTCGAGAATTCGATTGTTCTCGTGCATCCAACCTGTGGACCCACCCAGCCTGGAGACATCGACGGCCCCACGCGGATTAAGACTTACGAAGTCCTTCAGGAGGAGCCGGAATACAAGAAATGGGCAGGTGAGAGCTTTAGGTGGTCGTACCTTCCCTACTCGATGAAGATGGCCGGGCCGCGGGAAGCGATTCAGCACATGATCATCCGGAAAAATTTCGGTGCCACGCACTTCATCATTGGCCGTGACATGGCAGGTACGCACCCCATCTGCAGTAAGAAGCCGAAGCTTTGCAGCCTGACAAAAGCTGTTGTTACCGGCTTCACTTGGACATCGTCTCAGGAAGAGCACGCTGACCAGCGAGGATTTTTACGGTGCGTACGAGGCGGGGCTGCTGGTTGCAAGTCTGCGAAGGCTTGTCCAAAAGTGTTGATGATTTTGGTCTGACGTGCGATGCCTTCGCAGGCACAGGATATGGGCAAAAAGCACTCTGAAGAGCTCAGCGTGAAAGTGGTGGACTACCCCAACATGGTGTATGCTTCTTGGACAGACGGTACAAGGGGGCAAGACTCGGTGACAAAGCCAAGGATTCGAAGATTAGAAGACAGCATGGAGGAACCGTTGAAGTGTCTTCTGCAAAGCAACAAAGCTCCCGAACTGCCCAGATGTCCACGCCATAATCCCCTGGATGAATTGCACGGATCGGCAAGTTTTTTGATTGAGGTTGGTCAGGAGCACGGCAACGAGCGAGGCTGGCCGATTCCAACGGAGCTACGTCCGACAGCTGAGTACTTCGAAGTATGTGGGACCCATGTATCATAGCGGAAGTGCACCTGCCTCATGCTTTGGTCGCCACGGTGATTCGGGCACAGCCCGAGTTCGCTTCGAATGCATCGAACAGGCTATGCTACAGACGTCGAGGCGAAGGCAAAGCAAAGACGGAGGGTTTGGAGTGACCGCCGCAATCGCTTGCATAAGTCCTTTTGAAGGCCAAGGGGGTCAAGATCAACAAGCTCTCGGGCACAGAGCTGCTCGGCTTCTTATGCATGCCTGGGGTAACGTCGCGATGTCCCTCGCACGAGGTTCCGCAAGCGATTGCGGAGTGGCGAAGAGATCCCGGAGTGGTTCGCATTTCCGAAGGTGGTAAAGGCAGGTTCCGGTTCCGGTGTTGTTCTAGTGTTCGGAGCTTTAGGTCCTAACTTTAGGTATATCCTTGCGTCGACTGAAAATCGTGCTTGCCGACAGGTCCTTCGGGAAGGAGGCTGGGGGCTGGGCGCAAGCTGCATGCGGCTGCTCGCAAGTTCTGGCCTGGGTCGAGGTGACAAGATCTTCTTGTGAGCCTCGAGAAGCTGCGATCTGCGAACATTTCTAGCCGTGCTCACAGCAACGTGCAGAATGCAAAGGGCTGTCGGCTGGCCGGTGTTGCTAGAATATCTGGCGAATTTAATCCCGGGCTGAAAGCCCATTCTCAAGCGATCTCTCCTTTTGGCCTGTGCAGCATTGCTTAGTAGATTGCCACCCCCGCGACAAAGGTTGCACCACCGAAAAACAGATGACATGTTGGGCCTTGAGGCTTTTCAGGAAGCTCCTCCGCTCAGGGTCTTTCCGGGTCCTTCTCATCTACTTTGTCCAGCAGCCAGTTCCGAAATAGATGCTACGACTAGGTCGCTGCGATTGAGGCAGTAAAGCGAAAAAAAGCAACCGCGTGGTTTGTTCGTGGCCTCGGTGAGGCAGAGGCTCCGAATGGTGCAGACGGCCAGGTGGGGGGCGAAGCTCTGCATGGAGCTCTGAGAACCTCCTAGGAATCTTAAGATTCTAGTACTGTACCAGAAAGGCCCCAAATCCTCTCACGCTGCGGGAGTTTCGAAGGAGCAGCGGCAAAACTCTTCGTGGCTGGCTGGCCAGGAGGGCGAGGTCCTAGCCTCAGAGTGGCCGCGGATTGAAGCTTCTCCAAGGGGAGCTTTCTCTGCACAGTGCCTGCCAGGTTTGTGGCGCTCGTCTCCGATCGATCCTTCACAGTGTGGAAGGACTGGCCAGGCTGGGCTTGGTCAGTTTGGCAACTGCCCAAATGAGAGCGACAGCTCACGATCACGGCATCTGCAGTGGCAATTCGATTATCTTCGGCCGCGGCATAAGTCGATGGCCCCGACTGCATTGTCCCACGCAGTCCTGATGGCATTTCTTTTCGGTCTTTCGGTTCCTTGCCAGGCTGCTGTTTTCCACGGTTCTACTCTGCTGGAACATCCGCAGGCTCCCACCGATTTGAAGTGTCGATAGAGCAGTCAGGATTCGCGACAACATCGCTGTGGACTCGCTTGTCTGCTGTTTCGCTGACTTCACCAGAGACTCGTCTACTTCTCTCGCAGCTGTGCATAGCGATGCCGCCGTGCAGGGTGCTTCCGGACTCGGAAGGGGGCAACAATACGCGGCTGTCCTTCCAAGAGTGGCTGGAAGTGAACTCCAGAATTGAGGCCAGGAGAGCTGACCTTTCTTCTGCCTGTACTGCACCCCTGCATGTCTTTGATCCGACTTTGCTCTTGATGTAGCTGCCAAGGGGTTTGCACTACCTTGAGTGGCACACAGATGCCAAAACACCGTGGCGAATTGCACAAACAGGTCAACATTTGCCAGTTCTCATAATAAGACCTTCGGAGACATGCATTGCGGTGCAGTGCAGCAGGCAGACGGGACAACGCCTTCCGTCGCTGTGCAGAAGTGCATCTACAACACCCTGCTTCAAGACGAGCAAAGGCCTTAGGCCAATGGGCTCTGGCGAGGAACGAGAGATGAGGCATTATAGTATATTATACTATATTATGCTACATTATACTATATTACATTATATTTGGGTTGGCTTCAAAGTCCTTCCGGATCGAAGGTGCATTGAGCTGCTGCCGGATGCCTCCGTCAAGAAGACCGCCATGCCCGAGTTTCAGGAGGCCCAGAGTCTGAGCCGATCTGCGGTTAGAATGCGAGTGATGAGGGGGGGTGTGCGTTTTAGGAGGCTTTTTGGGGTTCTGGGTCTCGGTGTGGGGTTGGGATTGGGCTGAGAGTCAGTTGTTCGTTTAGCGACATAGTGGAAGTCCCAGACCTTGTTCTGCCTTTCGGGGCTCCTGAGCACGGGTGATCGGAGTAGTTTAGGGTCAGGACGAATTAGGACAAGACTTTCGGGGTTGGGCCTTGGGAGCCGAGATTCGGAGAAGGGTTTCAGGACATAGCCCGTTCTTGTCTTCCTTCTGATGTATAATTATTTATATATGTTACACTCTGGATGCCGAGGCTCCAGAGGACACGTCATCTGCTTTGCGCGCTGCGGGGCAGGCCATTGAGGGGTTGGAGAGGTCCATGCTGTGAGGCTGAGTTGGCCCTGTGCAGGTGGCGGGCGAGACGCTGAGTGCACAAGCCCAAGTTGATCAATGTCGACGAGATGCCTGCGCTAACACAGAATCTGCCACCTGCAGGGTTGGGCGTCGATACCCCCGGGCGGGCTGGAGCGCTTCGACGTTCCGATGCCTCACGGCCATCAAGGCTCTGGGACATTCTGGGAGGGTTGCAGAAGGAAGCCACCGCGGCAGCACGAGAATAAAGCTGGCATCATGCAGCAAGTCAACGCGTGGAGCTTTGATGGCGCTCTGCAAACGCGAAATGTCTTGTCGAGGCGGCTTGTCCGGTGCGAAGCTCTCGCACTGCGTCCTCAGCGAGACCTCGAGCAGCTTTCTTGACCGTCGGGACCCCGCCTCGCGAAGCGAATCGAAGCGACCAGAGCGAGAGGTCTGAAAGGTTCAGACGACTGCGCTCAGGCGGTCACAAGAATGGCATCAACTTGCTGCAGCCAGAGGTGACTGCATCTTCCGGTGAGGCCGGAGATGTAGTCAGAGAGAGTGTCAGCCCACTGCGTGATCCTTGCGAACGCCATGGACAAATTTCATGGGAGTTGTGGAATGATTGAGGCCGTGTGGATGTCTTTGAAGTATGCTTTCTGGCTATTCTTTTCAACATCCCCGGATGATCCTGCGCCGTACGTCTTCATCCGCTTGCAGGACAGAGCCTCTTACACAGCCCTGTGCAAACCTGCGGCTGAGTGCGTGACCTTGCGAAGGACACGGTTCTCCGCGAAACCAATCTGCGCGACAAGAGCCTGGTCCTGGCTGGCAGGAGCGGGAGTGTTCTTGAAGACAGGAGCGGGAGTGTTCTTGAGGACAGGGTTGCGACCGCGACCTTCAAAACCTTCAACTCGACAACACGACGACGATGGCAGAATTTCTACAGTTTTCTAGCATCGAACAGGATATAGAAAGGCTTTCGATGCCGTATAAGACGAAGCTTCAGATGCTGAATGGAAACATCGGGTTTGACCGACGAGTCACGTAACAAACGTAGACTCTGGCCTACATGTAGAAAAGTGTGGCCGCACGGACGGCGAGGCACAAGGCGAGTTGCCTCCGAACTTAGGCTGCGCTTTTGCAAAGTCGCAACGGCTTTCTTTCCCGATCAGTGTGGATAGTTTGCCTTCCTGAAAACCCCGTTTCCTCATCGAGGTCAGCTCCTCGAAGACGATTTGCCGATATTTGTTATGCGGCAGCTACCGTCGCACGAAACGGCAGGAAGAATACGGCTCGCAGCCCGTGGTCAGCAAGAATGGAAATCGGGGCACTTCGGCCAGGGCAGGGCAGGGATTTTCCTTCGCTTCGTGTGCACTAGCTTGGTCCTCTGTGAGAATATGACGCAGTCGTCTGCTGCAAACGGACATGCAGCACCATCGATTCATTCAGTTGCAGCTCTTGATGGCTGAATCACATGGTTTTATGACATCTCATGACTCATCTATGTCTATGCAGGATGAAGAAGTCTGCTGATGACGATGTGGCAGGTGCTGCGTGCATTGCATTTACAGGGTCCTCGGCCTGAGCCAAATCTTCCTGCCTGCACTTCCAGCTTTTTCAGGTCCCTTCGGGGATTCTGCTCGTGAGCCCTTGCGGTAACTCAGCAGCAGCTGCTTCATGGCCGACAGCACGCATCTTTCCCTTATATCCTGTCTCTCGAGGCTCTGCTTCCTCTTGGCAGACGGCCGATTTCAGCTCTTCGAAGCGTGCAGACTCAGCGGCTCCTGATGCATCAGGTGAGAGAGTTTGAAAAGCGTTCATGACGTGAGGCGCTGTGGCTGGAACTGCAGCTGACCTCTGAAGAGGCCTTCACGGCGTTAGTTCGATGCTGCCTTCGTTCCCTTCCATCCATGTTCCGTGCGCCCAAGAGTATAGACCCCGCAGGAGATGCAGATGTGGGCGCGTGCGATCTCCAATGCATGCATAGCAGAGCCGGGGCCCCGGGGGGCCTCAGCCTTTACGCGCAGCCTGACGGCTCCGCCAACACGCGGCCCTCCAGGTGAGCTTTCTGGCTTCTGCCGGTGCCTGTTTGGCTCTTACGCGTGGCGCCAGCAGTCGGAGGGAGAGCTTTCTCCTTGGCACGAGGCCAGACCTGCCTCAATTTCTCTGACTCTCAGAGTTCAAAAGACGCTCAGCTCTCGGTTTAATGTCATGCTCACTCTCAAAGCTCGTGCCCCCACCGCCGAGGACCTGAGAAACACAGCCTGTTGAATCAAGAGTAGTTCGGTTTCACTGGGGATCCACTTCGAGACCTGTGCACTTTGTTGAGACTTCACGGCAATCTTTAAAGGACATCTTAAAGTGCAGCCTTTGTCATTGAGAGTGAAAGCTTTCCGCAGTGAGACACCCGCGTGCCCGAAGGGCACACTGGATTGCCAGAAAATGCTGGCAACATCGATCACGCCTGCATATTTAAGGAAAAGCAAGATTCGCATAAGGGGAGAGACCGTCAGAAGCCGGTCATATACGAGGAGAACCCTGCAGCATATGACAAAGCAGTGCCCTTCTCGGAGTAGGCCCTGCTGTTCAATTCCTAGTCCGCAAAGCTATACCGGCTATTCAAGTTATTCAAGTCTTTCGCTTCCAGGCCCGGGATTGCAGATGATTCTGAAAGCGTGCATTTAGGTCTTTGGCCTGTCGTTGGCTTTGCAGAACTTGCAGCCCTTGGAAAGAGGATGCAGCTTCCCCAGCGCAAAGCTCTGCAGCCCCCAGCTACCCCAGAACAAGCCGAAGCAGCGTGAAGCAGAGCAGCCCCGGACTCCCGAACCTGAAGCCCTGAAGTAAAGGCCTTGAAGGCCACAAGGGCCGCAAAGGCCCTACAGGTCCCAACCCTGAAAAACCTAAAGGCACCATTTACTGTACGGCCCAACGGGGACCAGGATGTCGCTTCAGAGCCTTGAGGTTCATAAGCATGCTGCCCGTGGCTACGAGTTGACTGTTTTCTGCCGATCTCAAGGCTGACATCTGTGTGTGGCATTGCATGCAAATGAGTGCGGAGAGTGCGGGCACACAGCAAAGCAGACCAATGCGGAGACTCGGCATCTGGAGTTTGGATTCGATGGATGCAGGCCTCAGAACACGTCCCTGCTTGCCCCTTCAATTTCAGCCGCTAAGGCTAAGGTACAGGGCAAGATGCGCCGGACCTCACAGCGAACCCTCGAAGACCATACATCCGAACCCCAAAGCCCAACAACCTTGCAAAGCTGCGGAGCTACCAGAATGGGCAATGGTGCCGCAAGCGCCGCCAAAGCCAAGGCAGCTCCCGTGCCGATTAGCCCCCGAAGCGCCTGAACTTCGTCGACTCCAGGCCCTGGCTGGCGCTTCCTCGGATCCCTCCAAAGGAGTGTCCTCGGCGTCCACTTCGTCCCAGGCGGAGGTTTGAGCCGGAGGGGCCTGTGGCACCATTCCGTCAGAGGGAGCTCTCACGATTCCTGCGCGGCTGCGCGAGGTTCCTGCTGCAGCAGATCATCCAGTCGAGGCCCATGTCTCCCTTCTGTCACACAGAATTCGATGCCATCAAGGCCGAAAGAGTAAGCCTACTTCGTTTTATGTTGGATAGGTTGGCCACATCGGGAATGTGGTCCGAGGCTCAGCCTTCGAGGCACGCGGGCAGTGCCCTAAATCCACACATGCGCGTATCTGGCCGCACGGTTTTGGAAACATTTAACCCTATGGGTTTTTCAGTATCTTCTGGGGTTCCAGCGGTTGGCAGGGGGGGGGGGTGGGGGGGGGGGGCCTGACCACGTCCGGTTCTGTCCGGTTTGACAGAGACATCGCGGGATGGAAAAAAAGGGCCCAACACGACAAACAGACTAAACCGTAAAAGATCCAACCCAAGACCCGCACCCGCAGACGACGACGACGACGACGACGACGACCACCCGCACACGGCTAGTCACACACACGCGCACACACTTTCGCCGGCAACGTGAGACTAACAGATAAAGTCTTTTTGTTCTTCTTCTGCAGTACCACTTCTGAACTCGGTTACTTGGAAAATCAAGCATGAACCTTGAGCCCTCCCGGGCCACCGAAATCACATCAAGCACATAAAGACAGCTGGTATCTTCAGCGTCGTTTTCCTCGTGAAATACACGGTTGAGTTTCAATGTTCGTTCGTTCCAAGAAGCGTGAGTGTGTGAATGAATGCACCGAAGCTTCTGCACATCTCAATGTCACTCGAGCGCATCGAATTTGTGTCCAGATTCGCCTGGCGTTGCCAACAGGGTAAGTGCACCGACTCCGCAACGCACTTGAGCGAGTGTGCTGACAAATGTGCCTTACTTGTAATGTTGAGTTACCTCATCGGACCCGTCAGGCACATTTTCGCAAGCCACGATAGTCTTACAAATACCATCACTTACTAGTAGGACAACGTGCCGAAAAAGACATGTCTCGCGGCCACTCGGCCAAATGTCAACGTGTGACCCATAAATGCCCTAAACTGGGGTCCTCATGTAACATATGACTTTGAATCATTGAAAGGAGTCCTGGTTCTAGTTTAGGAACTACTGTAAGCTCAAGTGGGTCCCACGCGGCCGAGGCAACATTCCCCAGCGAAGCCTCCGGGACGTCGGCCGGGGGCTGAGTCTCACGATGGAGAGGTGAACCGGTCGCAGAATGACAGAAGCATATCACCTCCCAATTGCGCAGCACATTCGCCTCAGGTGGATGGTCCAGCGACTATGCGCCGCCGTGAGAAGCGGTCCCGGATCAGTGCCGTGCCAGAGCAGGCGGGATGCAGCGGCCAGACATGGCCTTCCGAGGGTTGGAACATGGCTTTGGAGCGCGAGTGGATGTCGTTTCTATCAAAGTTTGGAGGCAGGACAGTCGACGGAGCTCAGCGAAGCCCTCAAAACACCGGTGCTGGGAAGGACTGGGCTTTGAGGGGCTCAAGATGGCTCAAGATTCGTGTTTGCTTATGTGCCCTTCTAAGCTCTGCACAGGCGGGCGAGCCAGACAGTCAAGCCTGGCGCTGAGCGATACCGCGAGCTTTCGATGGAGTGCTTCCATGCCCACAAAAGCCGTCGCTCCGACCTTGCAGGCCCGAGATGTTGGACCCCCAGCTCGAGGAGTTCCTCACGAAGGCAGAGCCGCAGAAGGGGGATGGAAAACGCTGATGTTCTCTTGGAGCCTCGGAGGCTTTCCAGAAGCACTTCCTCTTGAAGTCAGTGCCGGAGGTCGAGTGCAAGGCCCTGCGCGGGGGGTGCGTGCTGGGTGCTGGATGTGCTGGGTGTGCTGGGTAGTGTACATGAGCTTTCTCCGCGAGAAGCAGAAGCCGACGGCAGGCCCTGAGTCTCTCGATGAAGGTGAAGCATGCCGTCCCTGAGGAGGCCCCCAAGAGAACGGTTACTGGTCAAGAAGTCAAATATGCTACATAAAGCCAGGACGACGTTTTGTGTTCAAAAACATGCTTGGTGTGTGGCATGAAAGGTCGTCGTGAGACAAGGCGAAATCGTCGAGTCTGTGTACTTCATCAGGCCAGCAGCCTGTCTGCCCGAATGGGTTCTCGGATTCAACTAGGCCGACTAGCCGGTGAAATTTCGTGAGGTACGGGAGCTTCCAGATGATGCAGGACAATGCCTGCCTGAGCAACGTCTTGGGGCGGGAGCCTCGATGTTTCTGCGGATCTTTGTGACTTTCGTGGCGTGTCTGCAATGCTTTTTGTGAAAGACCTTGCACCTGGTCACTATGCCCACCCATGCCAGTGAGCATTCCCATCACTTCGGACACCTCTGCTGACACGACGCGTGCACCTTTTTACGGGCCGCGCACCTTAAGCACTTTTGATGGAAACAGGCCCGGGGACTCCTTCGGGGAGCTGGCGCTGCTCTACAGCATCCCGTCCTCTGTCGGGCACCAAGAGGAAAGAGCAGAAAGAGCGGAAGAAGTTAGAGGACGCGTCCGACCGTCCCCTTGGTGCCAAGACCACCATCGTCGCCACAGAGAATGGCGAGCTCTGGAAGATGGACCGGCCTCAAACCTGTTCCGGTGTGGCTCGGGGGGGCTGCTTAGCTAGAGCGGATTGCGGATTCCACGACGGGAGGAGCGGCAGAGGTTCCTGGAGTGCAAGGAGCAGCTGAGCTCTTCTCAGATAGAGAAGGCCGGCAGCTCGGGAGCTTTGACAAGCCCGGGTGTCAGCATCGCTTGAAGTGCACCTGCTCAAGGCGATGGAGTTTTTCCAGGCCTGCCAGGACTTCCGGTATCTGAAGGAGGACATCGGAAGTGAGGTCTGAGTCCGGCATCGAAGGGCCAGGGACGGCGAAGGTCATTGAGACGTGTTCAGATCCACACGACGACAGGACGACCAGAAGTCCCTGGCGGCAGTCTGTACCTCGAAAACTTTCGAGGCCTGCGTGGTTGGGAGGGTCTGCTAAGTCTACTAGCAGGAGAAGAGTGCGGCAGGTCACAGAATTTGCAGCACCATGTCATCCTGAAGTCAAGAAGGCTGCAGGAGGTTTCCTGCACGTCCTGCAAGGATGGCTCCATCGTCTTGCAGGATGAGGAGGTTGGCGAATGCATGCCTGCGGCCAAGCTTGATGGATCAGGGTTCCACACCCCCCTTCGGAACGCGAAGCGCGAACTAAGGCTGATCGTCATCAGTGGTCAAGTGGCTGCCGCTGAATCGACCGCTGATGCGTTTGACAGGCATTGGACAGCGTTTTAGAATTCTAGAGCTAGTCTGAGATATGCACCTTGTGCATCCTTCGAGCCTGCGCTTTGCAAACAAGCACTGTCCCAAGAACTTACGGACGGAGTGGGATGAACAGCACTTTGTCAGAAGACATGCGTGGTGCAGGGTGTCGTACGGCAAGCCCGGATCTGTCATTGGAAGCGTTGGGGTCCTCTACCACAAGCAGCAGGCGGGGCTTGTGCTGAAGCGTTGTGCCTGGCGTGCGGCCCAAGTCGCTTCTGCGTCAATCAAGTAAGGCGAATGTTCCTTCGACTTGTGCGCCGCAAATCACCTTTCAGTTTGAGCAAATCTTGGTTCGTGCCGTCGCGAGACTGTCGCATTACAAAGGGCGAGGCAGGGTGTCTCGAAGTTCTCGGAAAGACGAAGGTCCAGATATCTAGGTCCTGTTAGGTGTTGACAGTAGGCCCGTCGGAATCAATGCTTGGCTCCAGGCGAAATCATTTGCGAAGGGACCTGTGGAATGTCTCTGCTTGAACAAGGCCAGTGTTGAGATCTGCTGCTGTCGTGGCACGACGAGTAGTGTTGGGTAGCCTTCGCCAAAGTGGTCATATAGGTAGTAAGTCGAACTCTTCCTCATTGTTGCAGGCAGCACTAAGTGGCTTCAGCCCTTCAGTGCTTGATGTGCTGCGACGAGCGGCGTTCAAGGCGCCCCATACAAGCACAGTCGTCCGCCGCATGTGGCAAATGTTTGTGTCGCAGCGATGAGCATTCAAGAGCCGCCAGGCAATTCTCCACAGCCTCCCACGAAACCCGTTGGATCCGGAGCCGTGGCGCATTCTCTCCGAGCAGCAAGTGTCCTCGCCCCAGCCAGGGTGCAGAAGGATGCCGCCGTGCGGATGCTGTAGACAACAGGGTCAGGTCATTCGTTGCTGCTTTCCCAGTCATCTTGAAAGTGAGTCGAACCATCGATCTTTCAGGATCCAAATTGCTCGCCCAAGCATCCTGTCCTGAGCCGCCAAAATCCAAGGATCCCAAACACGCCGATTGAAAAATCCAACCGAACCCCAAGGGCCTTAACAATCACCTTCAAACTCTCAAGGCGCTAGCCTCAAACCCGAAGAAACCAGATGCCTTCCACCCAGGAACCTCCTCATCTCTCGAACGGAGGCCGGTCCAGCGGTCCTGGCTTTGCACAAGCTAAATCGAGTCACCAGTCACTAGTCGTAGTCACTAGTCACCGATACGTATGTGGAGAAACAACAGTTCTTGTTGCAGTCAACATGTAGTCCTTCTCTCAGTGCGTGTGTGCAGCTCGTGCAACCACGCACTTGTGAAGATTTCCTTATTCCGCCCTTTGATTTCTTGATTGTTCTCTTGAGGACGGCACCTTCGAGCCCGGCGAGATCATCTTTGCACCCCAGGACGGAGCGCAGTTGATTGTCGTGATCTCCGGGCAGGCGGGTTCTCTTCGCACCAAGCAGACAGCAGTGCGGCCTTCAATTCAGCCTGGCAGCCTGGTGCACCGCTGGCACGCAGGTTGCAATCATGAAGGGTCTGGCGAAGACGCGTGAGGAGGACGAGTTGGCAGGATTCTTGGAATGAGCGAGCGAGCCCGATGATAGGTAAAGTTGCTGTCGAATGCCAAATTCAGCTCAAAGCCGTGGTTGTTTTTTCTGGCTGGCTAGATGCGAACCTGCAGACGGAGCGCTGCAGAGGTCTTTGCTGCCGAGGATGTCGACATCCTGCAGCAGTCCGACAAGGCAGTGACAACGGAAGAGAATTGGACAGGGCAGGGTGTCATGTGAATTGGGACTGTGTCTGCCCTGCCAACTCCGCATCCTCGCCGCCTGTCGCAGAAAGTATCCGACAGCCTTTGAGACATGTTTGGGAAAGCTTGTCAGGCTAGAGGATCCAACCATCGAGCACTGCGATACCTGCCTTGCACCAACAGGTAATTGAAGCTGGCCACTGCTACGGAAAGCAGCCGGAGCGATCCTGCTCTTGGGGAAACCCTGGGCAATTTTGGCAAAGTAGCTGTCAAATGGTTTAATTATTCAAGCTTTGACAGCAGGGTTGTTGACATACGTGGCTGCGTCCACCAACCGACTAAACTGCCAGTTGCCTCCTCGTGCATCCGCATGCCTGCAAGAAGAAACAGCCGTGCAATTTCGTGCATATCGCAGGAGTTCTTGGAGGGCGTTTCGATGTCAACCTTTGGCATCGCCGTCGGGAAGGCACTGTTTGGACGCTCGGGTGGGTGTGGGGGGGGGGGGGGGGGGGGAGTTTTGGTTGAAGGAGTGCTCATAGCCTCTGCAAGGTGCGCCTCCACCGGATTCTCCACAGTAATGTCCAAGAGCTTTTGGGGGACTCCTTGATGGAGGCGAGTGGGTTGGAACTACAGCCCTGCTGTTTCAATGCCTGTCACAGCCGCCTTCGGTAAAGCTCCCAGCTCGGAAGGTCATGCGCTGTGCTGAAATCAAGCGAGTGCTTTCGGACATCTTCCTCTTCAAGAATTTGAACGAGGACATTCTACTGGTACAACCCTGCCGTGATGTGGATCTAACCCTCGCATGGCTGATAGGAACAGATCGATCGCACCGTCCGAGAGCTGGAGCAGCAGATCTTCGCTGTGGGGAGCTCTGAACATGTTTGCTGTGCCGGGCCATGGCCAGGACTTCTCGACAAAATTGGCACATGTAGGGATGTTGACGGGAATCAGAACAGGGTGAGTGAGATATATCAAGGAGACTGTAGCTCTGGGACCGAGGCAGGGGAGATCATCGTCCAGCAAGACGACCCTGCCAGGCTGATGCCATGTCCGAATTCTTGAAGCGATCGCAGCTTTGTCGGAGGCATTTCTATCTCATCCAACGGGGTACGGTAGTGGCCCGTGGCTTGGAGAAGCGAAGCATTGGACTCCCTTCGGTTGAGACTTGTGCGAAGGTCCGGAAGGATGGCAAAGTCCTGCGGACCTTGGGAAGGCCACGGTGAGTACTCTGACGTTGAGCCCCAGAACATCGGACAAGTGCAGGTGGGATTACTTCGGAGAGCGTGGATTGCTTCTCCAAGAGAGGCGGTCGGCCACCTGCCAGGCATCGCGGTCGTAGACATGTGGTTGCAATGCCAGAGCATTGGCTGGGGTTCTTCGGTCTATACCAACGTCCAGGCACTGGATGAGTGCATTTGCCTGGTCCTGGATGCCGATGTTCACCTCTCAGCATCGTGCTAGCCCAGTAGTGCTCACGTACAGCAAGCGGGCAAGCCTTAAGGTAGAACAAGCAGCTAGGCACTCGTGGCTCTTCAGGAGTTCTTCCAGATCGTTGGCCACTTCAAAGACGAGCTCGAGCGCCGCATGCAGCTGCAGGACAACGAAGGGCGCCTCGCATGTTGCCGAACGCGAGTGCAGCGTGGTCCTGGCCTGCAGGACTTGAACTTGTCGATTTCTGATCTCCAGGCTGGTCCATTTCTGTTTGCAACGTCAACTCCAACTATTCCTGACCTGCGTCCAGTGCACCGCCGTTGTGGGCCGGGGCACCTTTGGCGTTGTCCGCCTCGTGACTCCCAAGGGGAAGAAGGCCTTGTCGGATATTGTTGTGGAGCAGAGGGCATACAAGTAGACGAGTCTTGAGTCGTGGTACAAAATCTGCATGGTGTGTGTTGCTTGTTGCACTGTAATAATCACGGAGTTCAGGAGGTGCGTGCTTTGCCCGAAAGCTTGGGTTACAAGATGATGTTGCAAGACCCTGTGATAATCTTGCTTCCCCACTCCTCCCCCCTCCCTCTCTCTCTCTCGCTCGCTCTCGCTGTTGCGTTCGCCCTCGCCGCCTGCAACGTCGACGCGGCGGCTTGCCGAAATTGTGCAGAGTAACTCCACATGCTCTACTGCTCAAGGAACAAATTGTATCCTCGCTAAGGGTCTTTTTGCAAGAAGTGAGTCGCAAGTTTCACCATCCGTGGTTCTCCTATCGCGAAGGATGGGCCGGTCCCGACGGCCGCTTTCTGAAGCTCATAACTCTGATATGCTTTGGCACACCTTTGTGAGGGATCTAACCGTTTGGCGTCTTTTTGGTCAGGGATTTCGAAGATATCGTCAGGCAGTTCATGTGGAGTCGAGAATATTTGTGTAGTTAGTTAGGCTTACTGTTTCTACCGTATTTTTTTGGTGTTGTAGCTGAACCTGCAATGAGCTCCTACTAAATTTAGAGAAGGAGTTTCTGAACCGCGTGATTCAGGATGCCCCAGAGTACGCG